CATCTCTCAATTGATAACTGTCTTAGATTTAAATTTAAGTGCAAATAGTTATTTGGTAACTACCTTTTTGTTTCTTTTAAGCATATTGTCTCATCGAAACTGGTTGCTTACGGAACTAAACGCATTGTTTTACTTAAGCATTATGATTTCATCTAAACTCGGTTAGTTATATAACCAAACACATCGTTTCACTTAGGGCTCGACACTCCATCGAAACCTAGTTGGTTATAAGATCAAACATATTATTTCACTTAAGACTTAATACTTTGTCAAGATTTAGTTGGTTCATAAGACTAAACACACCGTTTCACTTATATCACTATTTCATCATAAGAAGATGCTACACTTGATCGATGCGTGATATTGAATTTTAAAGTGCCAATAGGTTTTAATAAAAAAAATCAGATTGAGAATCGAAATTATTTTGGTTTGGTTAAACCAAAAAACTAATTTTTTTTTCACTATATATACATATTTTGAAACCCTAAATAGATTAAAGATCCTAAACATTCACCTTCCTCCTCTCTTCTCTCACCGTGTAATACCACCGTCGGACGACCTTCCTCTTCTACTCACTCTCATTGTTACAACTAAACCCAAACGACCTTCTCCTTCAAATATGTGAAAACGATACCAAAACTTGTATTATTAGCTAAAACTCATCATTTCTCCTCTACTCGATTAATCTCTATTGGGACCCCCTTACTGCCATCATCGCACACCTTTTTTCTTTCGACCTCTTCCTTCTCTCGCTGTGGTTTCTTTATCCTTTTTGGCATGACTAAATCTCTTTCACTTGCTTTAATTTACCAAATTATCTTTTGTTTGTGAAACTATAATCTTACCACATAGTTAATTTCTATAGGCAACAAGTTGGTTATAAAGTGAGGGTTATTTAGGGAGGTGTTTAGGTTATGAGTCGGGTATTCGATGGGGTAGGATTGTTTAGTTCATTGACTAGGCCTTAGATTGATAGGTTATTTAGAATGTTTGAAGGATTGAAGGAAACGAGTAATAGAGTCGTGGTATGGTATGGGTTCGATCATGCATCAAGTACTCTACGAGGGTGAGAGTTTTTGGGCCGACTAATTAAAATGGCCTTAAAATGGTAGGATAGTTGGGATACTTAGTGGTTGGGATGGTAAGGAAGTAGCCGGATTTTATAAGGTATGGGTTGAAGCGAAATTTGGGTATGAGTTGAAGCTAAAAAAATGAAGTAAAAAAATTCATTTTAAACTAAAAATCGAAACAAAAAATTTTGGTTTTTTAACTAAAAAACCAAATGATATTTCGATACTTTTTTAATTTTGGTTTTTAAATATTCAATTAACTAAAATAATACGAAACCGAATAAAAAAACCAAAAGAATACCCTTAGATACTAAGGTCAAATTTGCACCAATTATCGTAGAAATTGATCTTAATAAGCCTTTTAAATGTAAATTTAGAATGAGATGGAAAATCTAAATGTTAGAATATGAATGTAACATTAGAAATTTTCTTCTTCATATTATACATTGTATGCTTGTGTTTGAGTCTTAATTTTTTTTTCTTATGCATGTGATTTATTTCTTTTAATTATTTTGATTATGTGATGCATTTTAGATTAACAAAAAATAAAATAATTGGAGTTAGGTAAACTTGATTAAATTTATTAAGTGAGATGGATCAAAGTAATAGAATTTGTGAGTCTTGAATTGATGTGTAGAAGTGAGTTTTACGGTGAATTAATTTATTGAATGAAATGAAAACAAATTTGGCTTTTGTTTAAAGGGGTGGAAAAAGATGGGAATTAGACATTTTCCCTTTTTTTCTTCACTTCTCTTGCTCTCCCATTCAAACCTTAACCCTTCCGCTTCAACTCCACCATCCGTCATCCATTCCTTATCTATTTCACTATCAAAAACATTAGATTATGTTAATATTTGATGATCTAAGTTGATATTACGCAAAATTGGAGTTTGAAGAGTTAGTGTTCTTGAGTTTGAAATTCGAACAAAAAAAAAAGGTATGGTTTTCTATTATGATTTTTGGTCATTTGATGCATTCTTAGATAGTTATTAATGATTATAAGGTTGGATTATGATGGGTGTCATTAAAGTTAAGATTGAAGAAGTTAAGGTTTTGAGACCCATTTAAAAAAAAAGTATGATTTAAGTAATTTTAATTGGTTAAATTATGATTAATTATCTCAAGTTAATGATTTATGAAGTTAATTTAAAGTTTGATTGGTAAGATTTTATTATATGAATTATTTTTGGATTTAATGGATTGAATTGAAATTTTGTATATGTAACATATCGTATCACTTAGATTAAGCTAAAAATTCAATATGTAGTTTATGAAAGTGTTTTTTATAATGATAAAAGTATTTTAAAAAGGTTGAAAATATGGTTTATGAAGGTGTTCTTGTAATGATAAAGTATTTTGAAAAGGTTAAAAATAATAAATAATGAAATATGAATTTTGGAAATTTTTAGTTAATTGTTAAGTAAGGAGACGATTGATTTAAGTAAAAGATTTATTATTTATTGTTTTAATAATAGGAATTAAAGCTGCTTAAGGAGATAATTTTGTTAAATTACAAAGAAACTAAGGTAAGCATAGTTAAAGTTACCACAATGACTAGAATCGTTATGTGATTAAATGAGTCTTTAGGTATTTTTTTATGTTTACATCATGAGCATTGATTTATATATTTCATGAAATGTATTGAAATCATATTATGCATGAAAGGTAAAGGCTTTCATAAAAGCAAATAGTAAAAGTAAGGTTTAGTAGAGGTATAATTTTGGTAAAAAAAGAGGACTAGACATAATGTCTAGCGGGATACTCATATCAAGAAAAAATATATTCACATACATCATGAAAGTTGAACAGTTAACACACTTTACTACATTAGCATATCCTTACACAACACAAAAGGTGGCACAAACATTTTTTAAAAATATATTCAAACTGAATGGAATGCCAAAATCTATTGTCTATGACCGTAACTCTACATTCTTAAGTGGTTTTTAGAAGAAGCTTTTTAATCTGCAGGGGACTAGTTTCAACTACAGCTCATCCTATCACTCACAAATAGACAGGTAAACTGAGGCTGTAAACCGTACCTTAGAGATGTAACTTGTGTTGTTTCATAAGCTCCAAGCCTCTTAAATGGGTGCAATGGCTTGTATGGGTTGAATTTTGCTATAACATCAGCCTACATACTTTTACTCGCAAAACTTCCTTTGAGGTTGTGTATGGCAGGGCAGCACCCAATTTACTTACCTATGTCTCAAGAACAGCAAGGGTCAAGGTTGTCAACCAAACATTGTAAACAAGAGATCACACTCGTTTGGACTTAAGGTCTCAACTTCAACAAGCACATGCTAGGATGAAGTCAGCATATGATCAGGGCTGATCGGAGCCTAAATTTGAATGTGGTAACTGGGTACATCTGTGCGTTCAATCGTATCGACAAACTTCCCTAGTGCTACGAAGGTCACAGAAACTTTCACCACTTTTTTATAGGCCTTACTGAGTGCTAGAACGAATTAGGGCAGTAGCTTATTGGTTGGACCTACAGCCAGGACTAAGATGCATCTAGTGTTTCACCTCTCCCTCCTCAAGAAGCAATTGGGTGCTCGACTGGGTGCTCGAGATTAGACTGACTTCAGCCTACCCTTGTTGTCAGACCATTCTAGATCCTTGTAGCCTTAACCTACAACCGTTTTGAATAGTCATAAAAAAGAGCGTATACGCTAATTAGTTGGCAAGGAATCCTAGCTTCAGAAGCTACATGGGAAGAGGAGGATTCTTTCGGAACCAAGTTTCTACTTTTTAATGGTCCTTGAGGATAAAGACCGTTTTCAACAGGGAAGGAATGTCATGTGTCTAAATTTTGTTTTATAACTTTTCATTATTTACCATCTTATTAGACTCAGTTGTTGAGTCATTAGATTTAAAATACATGATAAATTAGATATATTTTTCTTAATGATCTAAATAATTTAGATGTTTAGTAGAATACTTGTGTAGAAAAATCCAATGATTGAAACAAATAATTAAGTCTTTTAATAGATACATACCTCATGGTTTATTATCTCAATTAGTTAGAGTTTCGTCTCGATAACGTGTTATAAAAAAATAATAGAATTAATAAGAAACATGGTAGTAAAATGAATTCATTATTGAATAAAGTAAATACAAGAGATAACAACTCCAAATAATCTCTCAATCTCTACAAAATACTTATACACAAACTAATGAACAATCAATCATATTTATAGGTTTCAATATTAGGAAAAGAATTAGAATGAACTATGAACTATTAAAAGATGCATAAATAATTGAATAAAATGCATCACCCTTTTATTTTCTCATATTGAATGGTGAATTAAATCATGAGTAGTGAAAATATGAAATGATAATGAACATTCATTATTTCATAACATAAACATATATTTATATATACTAAACACTTATAATGCCTATTGATAATATAAATATAGAGGTTTAATTTCTTTAAAATCAATATTACTTATGTTTATATTATTTAAATTACTTAATTTTTCACATTTAGGTTGATTTCATAAAAAATAATAATAATAGGACTAAATGAAAAGTGAGGACATGGGAGAAAAATATAATTCTTTATCTCACATTTAATATTAATAATCACTCTAAGAGAGATTATAGTTTAAAAAGGAGATTCTAACTACTAGTATATTTCAATAATACTTGTAGGAAATGATATATGACACTTATTTTCCAGGAAAACATTTTCCTCCACAGTCCACATGAAATAATCGTCAACAAAAACAAACGGAGCCTGGCCTTCCTTTACCTTTGGAAAGAAACTCATTCCCATTTAACACTGGTTACCAAACACAGGAGCCCTTTCCTTATAACCAAACAGGTCTCTTTAACATAAACATAAACATAAACGAGTGCTTCTTTTACCTTGCCTCTCAGTGCGTATTTTCGGACTTTCTCCTTCCTCCCCCTCTCCCTCCAATGGCAACTGCAGTAATTACCGAGACCAAAAAACTCCCGCGACCAGGTCGCGGCGGGTACCAACCTCACGGTCTAACCGAAGAAGAAGCTAGAGTCCGAGCCATAGCCGAAATCGTCAATTCCATGGTAGACCTTTCACGAAAAAACCAAACCGTCGATCTTAACGCACTAAAATCCGCCGCCTGTCGCAAATACGGTTTAGCACGCGCTCCAAAACTTGTCGAGATGATCGCAGCGTTGCCGGACTCCGACCGCGAGTCACTACTACCGAAACTCCGAGCCAAACCGGTACGCACCGCATCAGGAATTGCAGTTGTTGCTGTCATGTCGAAGCCTCACCGGTGTCCGCATATCGCGACGACGGGGAATATTTGTGTGTATTGTCCTGGTGGACCGGACTCAGATTTTGAGTACAGTACGCAGTCGTATACTGGTTATGAACCTACTAGTATGCGTGCGATTCGAGCTAGGTTTGTGCTTTTGCTTTGTGAAAAGTAGTATTACTTTTAGTGTCACAATAGTAAAGTAGTTAAAGAAGATAGTTGATTATGCCTGGGATTCATTTTGATTAATTGGTTCGAATGTAGTATCAGGAAGCTAATCTTTTGTTAGTTTTTTTTATGGTTATACTTGTAATGTCTTTAATTTTGTTGTGTGCATTAAATGTCTCTGTGTTGATTTTAGAACTTCACGGGAAATAGTGTAATAAATAGACTGTAAATGCATTTGTTTCTTGAGCTTGATGCAAATTGAGATTTTCGCTTAAGTATAATATTCCGCCTATCTTGTAGTTTTATCTGATTGTTCTTGGAGGTTGCTCTAGGGTTTTAGTGAACCATGCTGATTAAAATGGTTCATTTTCTTGTTATCCACATCAGTGCAACTTTTGCACCCAAGAAACTCGATTTTAGCTTAATCATCTGTGTATGGTAATAGAGAACGAAGGTAGCATGGTAGAGTGACTTGAAATTGAATTTCATGGTCAACATGTGTGCTCTGTCTGATGCCTCGCTTTGAGGTTCGAGGGCCTGGTTTCAACCACCATGTTGTTCAAAACTTATCCAAAACAGTGAATATGAAAGGCAAAAATAATTGTTTCCTTGTCATTTCCTGTACTCAGTTAGTCTTTATATCCTAAGTTAAGGTTTCAAGCAATGGCTGTGAGGTGTTACAGGTTGTGTGTTTTTTTTAATTGAGTTTTAAATCAAGAAATTACTAAATGAACATTTTGGTTGGTAAAATTGGATACATGAACATGAGGGGTTGTATATTTCTGTGTTATACATGTGAGGGCGACTGGTTTGAAGTATCAACTTTTCAGATTGCTTGGTCCATTAACTCACGGGTTTCTGTTTTCACCAATCATAAAGGGGTTAATGTTTTTCATGATATCTGGTGGTTAACTTTTCTTATGATGATTAAAGCCTTTATTTAAATGCTTTATTTTTGGTTTCAGATATAATCCATATGTCCAAGCTAGAAGCAGGATTGATCAGCTTAAGAGACTGGGTCATAGTGTAGATAAGGTTTGAGTGCTCTCTGCTTTTATGTTAAGTGTTTGGTTTTGCTGTTTTAAGTGGTTGGGTTTGTTCATAAGCACACACAGCCACCTTCTGATTAATGTGTTATATGTTTTCAGGTTGAGTTCATATTAATGGGTGGTACTTTCATGTCATTGCCAGCAGATTACCGTGATTACTTTGTAAGGAACCTTCACGATGCTTTATCAGGGCACACTTCAGCCAATGTCGAGGAGGCAGTTGCCTACTCTGAGCATGGTGCAACAAAGTGCATTGGCATGACGATTGAGACGTGAGTTATTATCTGAATTTTTTCAGATGGAAAATCCCATTCCCATGTGAACATTGTTGGATGTGAATTTGGGTTTTTCATAAGTTTTCTTAGTGATATGCTAAATCCCAGAAAATTATCTGACTTGTTTTCTTCTCTCTTTAAGTTCTGAAGCTAGAATGTTTCATAAATTACATGCTGACTCTTGGGGTGTGTGAGGTTTGGGGTGTTGCCTGGTTTGGGAGATATCATTTGGGGTATCTTTTTAGTCTGTTGTACAGAACATGGGAAAACAGTAAAGGTGGTAGTTCTAGGTGATTAATTGAGATGTTATACAATTGAGCATACACTTTAATCTAACTGGTTTCAAGTAGCAAGTGTCAGAATGTGTTTGGAAATTCTACTTGGTAGTGATGGTTTAATGTGCATGAATCCTTTGGCATTAGTTTCAAAGCTAGTAGCATTATAATTTGTTTTTCATAAATTTAATTGTTTATTTCGTTTATTTATCAGGAGGCCAGATTATTGTCTTGGTCCTCATCTACGCCAAATGCTTTCGTATGGGTGCACACGATTGGAGATTGGAGTTCAAAGCACATATGAGGATGTTGCTCGAGACACTAATAGAGGACACACGGTAGCTGCTGTGGCTGATTGTTTTTGCTTGGCAAAGGATGCTGGTTTTAAGGTGTGCACTGTGCATTGTCCTGTAATATAATGCAAGTAATCTTGATGAATTTTTTTGGGGGTTGGGGGGGGGCATGTAACGTGATGCCCATCTCATGCCTCTGTGATTAGTTTCTCTGCTGATTGTTTTTGCTTGGCAAAGGATGCTGGTTGTAAGGTGTGCACTTTGCATTGCCCTGTGATATAATGCTAGTAATCTTGATGAGTTTGGGGTGGCATGTAACCTGATGCCCATCTCATGCCTCTGTGATAAGTTTTTCTTTAAGTTGGATAAGAGTGAACAGTTTTGAAAATGCATCATTTAAAAAAAAAAAAAAAAAAAAAAAAAAAAACAAACTCACACACTCAAGGCTCTTAGCAGAACTAGTCTGCTAGAATTTGAACCCCATAACCTCTTGTTGTAAGAGATCGCTATCACTGGGCTGCAAGCTCTTTGGTTATCATGTTGTTTCCTTAAGGTGATGCTCAATGCAACAAATGTTTGAGCCTTATATTTATTTTGATTAGCAATCTCGTTACATTTTTCCTCTGATTATTTGTCTCCATTATATTTCTCCACTGTAGATCGTTGCTCATATGATGCCTGATCTTCCGAATGTTGGGGTTGAGAGGGACTTGGAAAGTTTTCGGGAGTTCTTTGAGAGTCCTTCTTTTAGAGCTGATGGGCTCAAAATTTATCCTACACTTGTAATTCGTGGAACTGGGCTTTATGAGCTATGGAAAACTGGCAGGTATAGCGTTGTTGTTCTTTTGTGTGTGTGTGTGTGTGTGTGTGTGTGTTTGTAAGTGTACGTGTGTGATTCATGCAGAAGGACTGATTATAGTTGATTCAATTTTGCAGCTATAGAAATTACCCACCTGAGCAACTTGTAGATATAGTAGCAAGGATCCTAGCCATGGTACCCCCTTGGACACGTGTTTATAGGGTTCAACGGGATATTCCTATGCCTTTGGTTACATCTGGAGTCGAGAAAGGAAATCTTAGGGAGTTAGCTTTAGCTCGGATGGATGACTTAGGCCTGAAATGTCGTGATGTCCGTACACGTGAGGCTGGAATCCAGGTAAATGAATAAGTTATTTACCATTAGATCAGGTTTGGTACTACTGGCTGTGATAAGTTGAGATTCTAACAAGTGCCTCTGTTATGCCTATAGGACATTCATCACAAGATTAAGCCAGAAGAAGTTCAGCTTGTTCGGCGTGATTATACCGCCAACGAAGGCTGGGAAACATTTCTTTCCTATGAGGATACACACCAGGTATTTTGGGACATCTTATGCATGCACGAGTGCATGTCTGTGTGGGTGGGTGGTTGGCTTCTGTATGTTGTGCACCGTGTACTTTATTATCTGCAAATCCTCATATCTACTTGTAGATGTAAATTGGATTGGTTGTTGCAAAAATGGTCCTTTTTTTATCAATGGTCTTTAATCCCTTGGGGACTGCAATATTAATTGGAATGTTTAAAAGGGGCTTTTGTTGTCTGTAATTGAGAGGGAAATGAAGTCTTTAAATCTTTTAGGATTGCAGTATTCATTGTAATGTCTTAGGGACTTTTGTCAGTAATAATGTAGAGAACTGTCTTGTTCTGGTGTGGTTACTTCTTAATTTAAGATTACCTGCAGAAGATTTGCCTAACAAGAACTTTCCTAAAATTCTTTTTGCTCACAGGATATTCTTGTTGGGTTACTGCGCTTACGAAAATGTGGCCGCAATGTTACTTGCCCTGAGCTTATGGGGAGGTGCTCTATTGTCCGTGAACTCCATGTATACGGAACTGCAGTTCCTGTTCATGGGCGGGATGCAGAGAAGCTGCAACACCAGGTAACATAGTAATGCTGTTGTATTAGACAAGGATTAAACCAAGGATTGTTTGATCAATTTGTTGGGCTACCACTTAGACTTTGTACTGTAAATGCTTCAACATGGAAAATAGTTGCTGACGGTATTATTTTCCACTTGTTTACTTTCTTGTATTTCCAACAGGGTTATGGTACACTTTTGATGGAAGAGGCAGAACAGATTGCTCGCAAGGAGCATAGATCAACCAAAATAGCTGTCATTTCAGGTGTAGGAACCCGTCATTACTATAGAAAATTGGGCTATGAGCTTGAAGGGCCATACATGGTGAAATCTCTTTCTTGACAATATAAACGTGTGATGTATTATAATTTTGTAATGTTATTCTAGGTATTGGCATAGAACTTTTGCTTCCTTTGATCGTAAGTTAAGTTGGTTGCATATCCTGAGGAAAAAAAAGTTTGTGTAGGAGTTTTTGCGGTTTGTGTTCTCTGTTTAGTAGCCCAAATTCTTGAAAACGGAAGAAAGCGGTTTTCAGAAGTTGCAGGAACGAAGTGTGCTTTCGGTTATTTCAAATTGATAATCGGCTGATTTTGTTAAAGATGTTATTAGTTGGCTTGTTTCTGACCAAAAAAAAAAAAAATTCTGATATGAACGATGAGTCATAGTTCCTAAACGTGAGAACATCTTTGTTTGAACTACAAAGAGGAGGACATCTTATTAGAAATGGGCAGGTATGTGCTTGGTTAGTTAGCATTTAGCAAGGCATTTTTCCCGGTCACGTGCTCTTTTGAGCTATGTGATAGTGATCTGGAGAAGCTATTGGGTAACTCTGGCTTGTTAATATAATAATATGAATCATAAATAAGAAATGATGAAGGGATAAATCTATAATGTAAGAATGTACAAGTTCTACAAGTTACAACTTTTTTTATTATTTTTGTAAACGCTTCTCGTTGGTTTAACGGTCGAGTTTAATTGGACGGTATTAATCCAGACTATTTAAGTGGTAGATCGTTGGATTTTTTATCGGGCGGTTCGGATTTAATAACACTGCTTTTAGAGTTCCAATATAAGACAATTATATTGAACCTGAAGTTTCAGTAAATGCTCTACGTAAGAACAGTCAGTTTAGTCCTTTTATTTTTAACCCAAAAGATTAAATTGGGCTGTGTTTGTTTGGGGTTTTTTTTTCTCTCATTTTTTTATATTTATTTTGCGTTTAGGAAAAAAATCAATAAAAAATGATAAAGTATTCTTGAGAAAGCATTTTTCAAGATAAAAAAGAAAAAAACATTTTCCCTCTCTCCGATAAGCTATCTCGCTCTTATGTTACTAATCTCTCTCTTGATATATTTTAATAATTTTTTTCTGTCTTTTTTTATTTAAAATATATCAAATTAATATGTAATTATTTCTTATCAATTATTATTAATTATTTAATTATTTTTTCTCTATTTTTACTAACATTTGATTTTTCGATTTATAAATACATAAATATTCTTAAAAATCATTTTTACACCTTAAAATTATTTTTACAATAAATAATTCAATGATTTATCTCTATTTTTTTACTATTATCTCAAACACCACCTAAATTATATTTAAATGATTGGAAATGATTATTACAAGAATATAATCATTTGTGAAAATTTTAAAACTAATTGATTCATTAGTAAATACATAATTTTTCCAATATTATTGATTTGCAACTAAATCAATAATTTATAACTAATTTTAATCGGTTATAAAATTTTATTGGTAATTATAGTCAATAATTAGTTACAAATTATTCCAACATTAATCTTTTGAAACCAAATGAATAATTATCCACAAATGATAAATAATAATTTGCAAAACTATTTTTTTGACTAAATTATCAGTTACATTTCTTAAAAAAAAAAAAAAATTAATTGAGTTACCAAAATAACAATGCTAGAATTGCTTAAATTTTTTTTTTTTTACTAAATGTAAATATTGACTTGATTTTGTCCCAAGTAGTTTTGATGAATTGGTTTGATGATTAAAAATATAAATTTTATTTTTATTTTTATTTTTTATTTAAATCTTTGAGTTAGTATTTATAAAAATTTATTAAATTTTTCTAAATGCATCTTATATTGTGAAATTGTGAATATGTCTTGTTAAAGTTTTCTCAAAACTCGTTGAACTAACAATTACAACTTGTTTTTTGTATCAAACAAACACCGAAATATATTTTCTAGTAATTTTTCTATATAATTGTCAAATGTCGGAAAATATTTTTTAAAAAAAAATTTTAGAAAATAACTTCTTCAGAATTGATTTTCTTATTTGAAATTGTTTTCGCCGAACAAACGGAGCCTTGGATTCTTTTTTTTTTTTTTGTCCTTTTTTAGGAAACTTTTTTGTTATTGTCTATGTTACTTTTTACTTGAGAAAATTATAAATTAGTTTTTTTTCAGTTTTACAAAACGAATTAAATAATCTTTTTTATTTCAAAAACTAATTAATTATTTTTTTAATCAGTGTTGACAGTGGTTAATTTATTTTTTTTTCAAAATATGTCCTTTTTTTTCATCAGTTTTTTCATATTTTCTTATCTTTTTTATTTATAAAAAAATAATAATGTAAAAGATTAAGTTATGAATAGATTTAAAAATATAGGGAGTAATTAATTAAGTATTGAAGAGACTATCTAATTTCTTTTGAAAACTAGTGGGATTGATTTATAATTTACTCTTTTTTACTCATCAAAATGATTCACAAAAATTTGTGTTGTTTCTTCTGACAAACTCTGCTGATTAAAAAAAGAAAATTATTAAAAAAAAGGGTTCATAAATTGTCCATACCTATAATATCAAGATCTATTCACATCACGTCATTGAAATAACTCTTTTAAATAAAAAAAATCTATCCTAATATTTTATTATAGCACTTTAAATAAAAACATCTATTCTAATATTCTATTATCGCACCCAAAGTTTGCAGGATTCCGAATAAAGTTTTTGTTCACATCGTTCACTTTACATATTCATATATTATAAAATAGAATTAATTTGAATAATGAACACTTTTAGACAAAATAATTTAAAAATATTATAGTAATTGTGATAATCAATTGTGGCAGAAAAATAACAAGCATCTTTTTAATATTAAAATTTAATTATTAGTGTATTACATCAAAATTCATCAAATTATTAAATTAGATCCTCATTTTTTTATAGAGAATTTTTTTTATTATTTTCTTATTTTACTTTTTACTCCACAAATTGATTCACAAAATTTGTGTCATTCTTTTCGACAAATTTTGCTAATTAAAAAATTTTTTTTTTTTAAAAGCTTCATAAAACTTTTATCAAACAAATGATTAACATAACTCTTTCAAATTAAAAAAAAAATCTATTTTAATACTATATTATCGTATAAAAAATTAGTAAGATCCTGAATAAATTTTTTGTTTACATTGTGCACTTTGCATGTCCATATGATATAAATAGATTTTATTTGAATAAAGAAACATTTTAAACAAAATAATTTAGAAATATTATAGATAGTAATAAATTTTGGTTGAAAAATACCTAAAACTTTTGTAATATTAAATTTTAAATATTAGAACTAAACATCCCAAGATTTATATAAAAGTTTTATTTCTCAAAATTTTTACAATAATTTGAAATTTAGATATTTACTAAATATATGTGATCAAAATCAAACTTTAAAAATAATATTATATTATCTATTATCATATTTGTATTTTAATATATAATTATATTTATTACATAAAAGAGACAAAACCAAGATAATTCGTAGTATATCGTATTTATATTTTAATAATTCTAAATTTCATCATATAATCAAACTAAATTAAATTTAAAAATTAAATACCAAAATAGATTTTTTTATTTTTTAATTAAAACAATTGCTCATATTCATTAAAATGAAAATTATCAATGGTTCAATCTGTCTTTATTTAATAGGATAATTCTTTAATTTATTCTCAAATCTCTAATTGAGTTAATTTTATTTTTGAATATATGTTAAATTTCTAATATATCATTATGATAAGATTTTCAAGTTAAACCATTGAAATTAATCATATAGCTTTCACATGAAAGTTTTCTATTTATCTAGCTTACACAAGCAATATGAGAATAAAAGATAATTATGAATAAATCATGCGAGTAATTTTAGTAATTTTATCCGACAATCTTGTTAAAAAAGTATATTAGAAACTTAACGTATATATAAAGATAAAATTAGCTTAATTGTAAGTATAAAAATATATGGAGCCATTAACCCAAATAAAAATGAAACTCAACTTTTCTTTTATTTTCTTTGTTCTTTTATTTTTCAAGAAAAACGTGAAAATTTTTTTTATATATATATAATAACCTACAATATGAAAAATATATTTCTAATTTCTCATTACATTAATAACTAAATTGGATCAAATTTTATCGTGATTATTATTTTTAAAAGATCTAATTATTAGCAACCATAAATATATGAACTAAATTTATTTATATATTTTAAAAAACAAACACGCTAATTTAATAATTCAGTTCTTATCTAGATTTTCAAAACTAAAATGTGAATAAAGTTTCTAACGGCCAGAAACGAACTAAAATAAAGTCCTGCCATGGCAACAGAAATAACAGTCGCTTGTCAAAAAAACCCATTTCTCAACTCTCTGATTTTCTCAAGCCGGTCAGCACCATTGATCAGATCCCAGTCCAACCATGCTAAAATCAACCTTCAATCCAATTCTCTCAACATTCCCAACCAAACCCAAAAAGCTCCCAACAAAATTTCCATGGCGGACAACCATCACCAACACATGCACACAAGCCCCACAACCTGTTTACCAAAATGCCTCAGTCACGACACCACCACCACTTCATCAACACTACCCTCCTCCAACTTCAGTTTACGTTCACCTCCCTTTCTGCCGGAAACGATGCCACTACTGTGACTTCCCAATTGTTGCTCTTGGCTCCACAAACCCAACTGATACGGACCCCCGAATCTCTAACTATATTGAATTACTTCAGCGTGAAATAGACTCAACAAGGTCAAGTTTTGATACCAGCCCACCTCTGGAAACTGTGTTTTTTGGTGGTGGGACTCCTTCTTTGGTGTCTCCAAGGATGATTTCGTCGATTTTGGACAGGTTGAGAGTGACGTTTGGGGTTTGTGAAAGTGCTGAGATATCTATGGAAATGGATCCTGGGACTTTTGATGATAGGAAAGTTAAGGACTTGATGGGTTTGGGTGTGAATAGAGTGTCTTTAGGAGTTCAGGCTTTTCAAGAGGAGTTGCTAAAAGGTTGTGGGAGGGCACATGGGATTAAGGAGGTTTATGAGGCAATTGAGATTTTGGGTTCATGTGGGGTTGAGAATTGGAGTGTTGATCTTATCTCTTCACTCCCTCACCAGACTCCACAGATGTGGGAAGAGAGTTTGAGGCTCACTATTGGAGCAAGGCCTAAGCATGTGTCTGTTTATGATTTGCAGGTTGAACAAGGCACAAAATTTGGAGTATTGTAAGTAGCAGAATTCATGCTGGGAAATAGTAGAGTTTCCTTTTGGTTTTGTATTCAGTTTTGAGATTGATTTTGTACGTTTTTTGTAGGTACACGCCAGGGGAGTTTCCTTTGCCATGCGAAACTCAGTCTGCTGAGTTTTATAAGATGGCTTCGAGGATGCTTACTGATGCGGGTTACAAACATTATGAAATTAGCAGTTATTGTGAAGATGGGTATGAATGCAAGCACAATTATACATACTGGAAGAACAAACCTTTCTATGGTTTTGGCCTAGGTTCTGCTAGTTATCTCAATGGAATTAGATTTTCTAGGCCAAGGAAGATGAAAGAGTACATGGGTTATGTGGAGAATTTGGAGAATGGAGTGGTAGATTACAATGGGAGTAATCATGTTGACGTGAAGGACTTGGCTGTGGATATTGTGATGCTCTCACTTAGAACTGAAAGAGGCCTTGATTTGAGGTCTTTTGCAGAAGCATTTGGTGATGCACTTGTTTATTCTCTTTGCAAGGTCTATCAACCATACATAGAGAGTGGGCACGTCATTTGCTTGGACGAGGAGCGAAGAGCCATGACTGCAGATGAATTCAACACCTTGTTTTTGAATGAAGATGAGATTGCGAAGGAGATATCTTATATCCGGCTCAGTGATCCAGATGGTTTCCTGTTATCAAATGAATTGATATCCCTTGCATTTAGGGTCATAGATCCATAAAACTGCAGTCCTTCGCAGAACCTGGAACTTGTTGATGGTGAATCTATTGCAGATGGCCTCAGGGGCTGAACTCTGAACGGCATTTTTTTAGCAAAAGCAGTTCTTCATCAGTCTTTCTTGGAAATCTTGTGTGGTGGGAAAGAAAAGGCAAATGAGGTACAAAACACTTGTGGGCATATTGCTTTGAGTCCCTGGCACACCATGGTATTGAGAATGATTAATGATACTTCGACTTCTGTATATGCCAGATGTGCATAAAACACAGTTGTGAGATAGAAGCAGACTTCAGGGGAATACCGTTTTATTGGAGAAAGGAACAAGTGGACCCGCAAAGGATATTCATGATCTGGATATTTCCTTGCGACACCCAAAAAAAAGCAAGAAAGAAGAAAACAGATTGTTAGGCGAGAAAGCTTGTGCAAGAAAATTGCCCAAGATACGCTTAAACTCTAAACAGCATTCACTGCTAATAGTTGCAGCTGACGAAGTGCCAACTGCCTACCCATGAATTTATATTAGTTTTGCAATTAAATTATGCGTTTGCATCACGCTACACTGTCCTAACTTTTAGTTGATATGCAGAATATAAATTTGATTTCCCAGCCAAGGATTATGGATTCACTCCTTGTTTATAGCAGAGATTTAAAAGCTTGGCAGAGATTGGTAATGAGGTCATTGCTGATTTCTGTGACATACAGGATGATATGTCATTTCTTTAAAAAGAACCTCCGATTAAGCAACTAATCTAAACTGCGAACATGCCATGGAATTTCTATACCTAGGATTAAAGAGAATCTGTTTAAACTGCAGCAATGGAAACGATTAGGGGGCAAAAATATGATACAAAGCATGTTCAAATTCCTATCACTTCGTATTGGATGCAATTCAAAAATAATGAAAAAGGCCAATATGTGGTTGATCAATTTGAATTGCAAGTTGTATACAATTCACGTTTTCGTCAACTGATGCCCCTATCATGAGTAATAGATGCCACCAAGAATTTTGATGGCAATTCATCTGAGTTTTAGCTTCCAGCAGATATTCTTACGCAATTCATTTCTCCACCGGTTTGGACCTTCAGATGACTTGTAAATTTACACAGGACCCTTCAAAGGGAGAGTCAACAAATCTTCACAATCATTCATCTTCCTATCCTCATCCTCCATTTCTTCAACAGAGAGTGATTCCAGGAGCCTAACCTGCGATTGGGAGGGAGAAAGGCCAGAGGTTAGACAATACAGTCACCACCTGTTGTTCAAACATGGTTGCTAAACTTAATGGCAGTACTAAATGTACATCCAAAATCACCACACAAATTAATATAGAACGCAAGAGTGCTAGGTCAACAGTCTCAACAAAAAAGGGCTGACAGGCCATTCTGGTGCTTGTTAAGTGAGGTATGGCACAAATTATATCCGAAAATCAAGCTACCAATGTAACAGAAACAATGAACAGTGCCATGGCCAGAACAAAAAGGCAAAACATCAGCACAAAAGTAAATATGTAGTCAAATGAAGGGAGTTTTCAAACATAGCATAATCCTATAAATCAAAAACTCGCAGTAGCTGCTTGACCCACTGATTGAATCAACGGCATCATTATCATAATCATGATTTGATTATGAAGGCATAAACCTTAAATCTACTCAAGGAACCTGTAAATGACAAAAAATAAAATAAAATACCTTAAACTATGATGGCTTCGTCTTCCGTCCAACTTTTGAGATTCTCCTCAGCTCTTGCGTTCCCTTCCTCATTTCACTGCAGATGGATAAAAAGTTTTTAAAATTATTGCATAAAGTCAGTAAATAATGGGAAAAAAAAACCTCAAGAACTAAGAATGGTACCTTTGATGCAAATAAACAATGACATAGAATAGGGGGATCATCATCATAGTCAGAATTGAAATAGCCAGGTAGAATACCCTTGTTTTCTTCTGCATGGATTAAAAGAGGAGGAAAGTTAGTAAACAGTCAAGCATAAAAATTTTCACCCTCTGGCATTCAAAAGATAAATTTACGGGTTTTTTTTTAGGCTAAATAAAGACAAGCTAGCATGACTGTAGGATATCTTAATTGTCTGGTGGATAAATAAAAAAAACAATTGTATAATAGTTTATAATCTTCTGGCATCCAAAAGAAAATTCAAAACTTATGGTTAGGTTTATTCACTTGTAGCAGGTCCAGAGTTTGTTAGGTAGCCTGAAATAACAAAACAGCTAGAAATGTGGATGCATTTTCAAAAGTTTTTTTTTTTAATGGTTTTGAGGTGGAACATCTAGTTTAAGCTTCTTGTGCAGAAAAAAGCATTACCTTGCCACCCTTAGGAAAAAGTTTTCTTTTCCCTGAGCAAGTGTGAGCATCACAAAATTGGTGCAAAAACAATTCTGCAAGTGAGAACACCATTGTAAGTAAGAGAAATCATTGCACATATCAGACATCAGACATGTTTCTTGGACACAAAAGAATTTATAAGATGTTTCAAAAGGCAAGCAAAAAGACTATAGAACATCTTCATTACCATGCAGGTGACTTGCTGAAGGGCTTTGATTGAGAGGAAAGCAGCTATCTGCAAGACTCTGTACAGAGTACAAAGGATATTAGTGCAAAGAATTGGAGTCCAAGATGCAAACCATAAAGCAGTCAGAAGCAACCTCACAAAGGTGGCGATTCTTTGCAACAGCAGCAGGATTGCACTTGGTCTTCGCCGACTTGGAATCCATCATGAAATCACAATGCAAAGCTCCACATAAATCAGCTAAGCACTTGCCATCACTCTGAGTTCATTAAAATTTTTGTTAAGAGCCGTAGCGTTTCTTCCACCATGCCTCTTCCTTTACAACCCCCCACCCCAACAAGTATCATCCACAATATGATACTTATTACAATGAAAAAAGGAAGAGAAGAAGCATTATGCGAAATAAGTGTCACAGCCACTTAAGAAGACAAGGGACCAGAATCCACATACAATATTAAGAAGATTGTAATGCCGGTTGTCAAAATGCTGATCGAGAAACTTTTCGGCACGGAAACTTTTTCTACAGTATCCGCACTTCCATTCATTTACGTCTACATGAACCTTATGTTGCTCTTGATCCCTAAACAGATCATTGCTTGGATGAAGCCTACACTTACTAGAAATCTGATAATTCTCTCGTTCCACAAACGGCATCAAATACTACACCACATTCACAAACAACAATATCACAAAAACTACACAAATGATAACTCCACAAGGTGTTGATCTCAAAAAACACAAGACTGAAGTAATCCTTGTTACCTCTTCTATAGCTTGCCAGGCAGCCCTACTTCTTTCTCTAGAGCAATGTACTTCGTGCACATGCTCTTCTTCTTGCTTAACAGTTCTAAACACAAGCATAACAACAGACATTAGAAGCGTACCTTCAAAACAAAAATACAGTAATGTGTCTGTATAAATAATTACAAGCTACTAACCTCGCAGCCGAATGTTCTCCAAAATCCTGCCAGATATCAGTAAATCCCAGTACAAGCAAACAATTAAAATCATTAACACAACTTCGAATCAATGAATTAAAAACAGTACCAACCCAATGAAAAACGATCTCCACTAATCATATACAGAATCAAACAACAATTAACTTAATCATTTCATTATCCAAATGGGCCTAGCTAAAACTCGAAAAAAAAAAAAAAAATCAATTTCCCATCAAAAGAAACATCACCTGATAAAATTTGACAGAGAGCACATTTGACTACTGTACTTGGTTAAAATCAAACAAACAAAAACCCAATAAGAAATTATAGCTAACAAACAGAATTCTAGTTTCAAATATACAAAAGCAATCACATCTCTATCAGTCATTAAAAAACTTTCCACAGCCAAAACAACACAAAAGAGACATAAGTACGTACAGTGTGATTAATTAAGGATTAGTAATACCTGGCACAGTGTTTGTTTCAAGAAAAGTGAAATTAAGAGAAGAGTAATCCTTGTAGCTTTCCCCATCTCTCTCCTCTTCTTCTTCTTCTTCCTTTCTTTTCTTTTTTTTTTTTTTTTTTTCCTAGTATGCAGAAAAGGCAATTTCTGGGAAAAAAAAAACCTCTGTTATGTCTGTTTGGCTATAGGAAGAAACATACCCCAGGTAGTGATTATAACTATCCTGGCACTAACGCTAGATAATGGAGATATTTATTTGTTTTACAGGCCCAGGCCATGTAAAGGGCTCCCCTTACCCCTTTCATGCTGAGTCAAAAAATGCAGTGGCAAGCATTTGGTGAATGTACAGTTTTGCCCTTTTCATTTAAAGGTTCATTTAAATTTTCCTTATAAAAATATGAAAAAAATGTTGAACCTAAAGAGCTCAATTTTAAAAAATAATCATGAACAATAATATTTATTATGTTATGATATTAAAAATAAATATAAGATATATTAATATATACCGATATGACAATCAATAAATCAATATATTAACACCTCGGATAATATATTTATTGATCTAAATATATTAATATATTTTTTTCGATAATGTAATATCATGAAAATATGGTATATAGTCGTAACAAAAACAATTCACTTTTATCTTATCAAAAATTAGAGATAGCAACTTCTAATTTCAATATCTTCCTTGTTCAAAAGATCTCAAATTTAAACCTTTGTTTTTGGAATAAAATAAAAATCAGCTTGCATCTCACTTGACATACAATCGACCTGTTTGGGAGGAAACTTCCAGTTTTGAATAAAATTCACATTAAAAAAAATATAGAAAATTAATTCTTCATACTATCAAGTAGCGAAGAAGTTGAGCAATTCATCTCCCTCACAGTATAATATCAAGTAGCGAAGAAGTTGAGCAATTCATCTCTGCTGCACTACAATATATTATTTTGAGTGACATTAAGGTTTTATCTTTGTTAGCTAACCAAATTACATTACATAATAAGAAATGGAATGGGAATGATAAGATTCAAGAAACAACATCAAGACTCCAATTTTGGTGATTTCTTGGCGGGACAAAAAGAACAGATGACAAGCAGAACAGGCAGCCACCAAGGTCTTTGCAATTGATTTATCAATGAAGAGGCGTCATATAATTTTAATACACCTCTTACTAATGTTGAAAATGAAAAGAGTCAACAAAAACTAATCTTAAATCTAATACAGTTTCCGCCTTGCTCCAGCCTCCAAGTTAACAAATCCATTATCGCTCAAGAAAAACTGGCCCGAGTTACCCCCACCTCAATAATCGAGATGTTTTAATATTTTTTGAAACATTTAAATGAAGCATTGATGATACAACGAGATGTTCCAGAACTGAACACTGATGATGGAACCACGGCCAATTGCAACACAAAATATTTCTGCTCAAGCCCCAGATTCACCACACTACCTTGTACACGTTTGTTCCCTTCAATTACAAGCATGGGTATCTGCCTTTTTCGCTCTCACCAGGTATAATGATCTTAACTATCAAGGGCACCAAGTGCTTTCATATCCTCTAAAAAGGCCGTATATGAGTCATCAATACTCTTAGACTTCGGAGCTGAAGATGAGTTAGTTGACTCTGGCTTCACAGTGGTTGGAGCTGCTGGCCTGGTGGCTACCGCTGTAGTTGAGGTTGCAGTCTTTGGTTTTGGTTTAAGGAGAGCAGCCTCTCTCCTCACTCGAACTGAGGCAGGAACCTGAATGCAGACCAAAAGTTGGGCTTGAGTTTTTAAAAAGTTCGATAAAATTAGATTTGAAACAGACAAGGATGTTTAACCTTCCAGAGAAATACAATGCAGAAAGATAAATGAGGGATGATATGGCAATATTCTAGCAAATTCTAACCTAGTGCTACAAGATTAAACAAGCAGGGTGTAAAAAAGTTCTTTGAGTGAATTGTAGTGCAGTGTTTTCACATCCACATATCATAGTTACTAGTCAGTAATCACATCAGGTAGTTGCCTCAGAGTTGAAACCTAATAACAATTGATGCTCTAACAGTAGACAAGTGATGAGAGAATGTGATGGGAGAATCAAACGGTCTATAGCTTTATATTCTGGGTGTGCTGCATTGTGGTTGCGCTTTTGCAAGAAAAGAAATTGCAACTACATAAGTAGTCTTTCTTAGAGTGTACACAGAGCATACAGAGCACAATAGTTTTAAATTTGAATAAGCAAAAGAGGTCTGAGGAAAAAAACAAACTCACCATAGCTGTAAGTTCTGGAGTGTGCTGTGCTAGCGGCCTTTTAACAACAGTGGATGCAGCAGATTTTACATAAGATGGTTTCTGAGGAACATATGGCCTATTTGCAGCATCTTCTTGCAAGGAAGGAGGAGGACCAGGTGGAAGGGGTGGTCTCATCATTGGAGGAGGTCCAGGTGGAGGACCATATGGAGGTCTGGGAATCATTGGGACCAACATCCCTGGATGAGCCACTTGACCAGGAATTCCAGGAGTGGATAATGGTGGCTGCATATTTGGTGGAGGTGGAGGTGGGGGGAAACGCGATATGCCTGGTGGTAATACATCAGGCTGTAAAGTTGGCATCAATGATTGTCCAGGTGCTAGCAGCTGTTGCATAGGAGGAGGTGGTGGGGGAACCATTTTAGAGTTATCCGAAGTTACTGCAGTATTGGCATCAGCTTCAGATGAAGCACCTTCAGATTGATTACTAGCTGAGTTCAGCTGCATTGCAGTTGGAGGAGGTGGAGGGAGTGAAGTAGGTACCTATACGAGAGAAAAAGGCTGTCATATTAACCACAATTGTCTTTCGTAATAAAATTCTACATCATTTTTCCCATCCAAAGATTAAAATAAAAAGCTTCTAGAAAGGCATTTGAGAAATCAGAGCACTGGTTCAGTATTGAAAAGTGAGGGAATTTCAAAAGTTTTCTGATTGTAAGTTGAATCGACACTACAATTAGTACAAAAACATTCATTTCATATCTTTTGATCGGTTTGAACCAAATGGAACAGATTTTTATAGATTTGAAATTGGTATATACCCCTTTCTTGGCACTAGCCAACCAAGAACATGCATGTGCTTTTACAAATCAATTCTTTTTTATCCATTAGCTTCTGAAATTTATGCTTCAGGAGATCCATGCAGTATAATGTCTCTAACAGGTATATCCTGCTTTTAACAGCATGCATAAAGAAGGTAAAAGAACCCACCTGAACAGTATCCTTGGAGGATGATTCATCTAACAATGCAGATATGTTGGTCTCGCTCCCACTTTCGTTTGTGCCAGGTGGCAGCGGTGGCTGAGCAGACTGTTGGAGGGGTGGGGGTGGAGGAAGAGGGGTGTGACTTGAAACTTGATCCTTTGGTGGAGGACCCGGAGGAGGTGGAGGTAGAGGGGGTGGAGGTAATGACATGCCCAGGCTTGTAGCTGCAGGCATTGGTGGCATTGGAGGTGGAGGAGGTAGAGGCAACAAAGCAGGTATAGCAGAGCTATCGGCAGGGCCTAATTCCCCGCTCTCTGGCAAGGGAGAAGGTACTGCTAAAGCAGCATCCTCTGATTCAGTTGTGGAGGATGAAGCACCAGACAAAGGAATCCGGGGTCCTGCAAGTCAAGTCAACAGCAAAGTTAGAAAAAGTACATACCGCTTAATTCCAATAACATATCTTAAAGCTGAAAAATGAAAGGAGGGGGAAGACCTATAGATGATTTATACATGGGAGGCTTTCCAGGTGGTGGGGCCCCAGTAGGATTCAGAACAGGGTGATAGTATACAGAGTCCTGCAATAACAATTTTTTGGTAGATGATTATAAGAGACCAAACAGCATTAATTCACAAAAGTAAAACTAAAGCCAGCCAGACATACTTCAGGCTTTGGATGCTTGGTTCTTTCTTCTTCTTCTGCAGATGTCCTTCTTCGAACAGGGCCCAAATGACTGCAGCAGAAGACAACAATGCAGTTTGTCAATAGAAGACGTGTAAAACCCTAATGGCTCATGGACAAAAACAGAAACGGATAAGAAAAGAGAGAACACTTCACCTGAACATCACAGGGGTTTCACCCTTCTCCTTCATTTTATCTTCGTATTCCTGTCCAAGAGAGAACGGAAAACTAGTTATCACATTAGTATAACTGATATTACTTTAAAAAATGGCTATATAGGTAGAAATGTTAAACTCTTAGCAAACCATCCAAAAGTAACTGATGTTACTTTTTCCTAATATGAAAGGTGCAATGATCACATATACATCCCATACATCAAATGTAGGGTATTTCCAGATTCTTTAACATTTCAAACTTGACTTATCTGACCACTCTTTTAACTTTCTGATACACAAAAAGCTAAAAATGAATGGAGGGGAAGAAAATAATGGCATTATAACAATTACCCTTCTCTTCTTTATAACAAGGCTAAGAGTATCCTCAAGTTGTCTCTTCTTGTGTTTTCTTGCTTTGTCCAAAGCACCATCAGCTTCTGCACCAATCAACGGCATATAAATATGTTCAAATGAAAAAAACTGCAAACCAAGCTTCATTTATAAATTAGATGTAGCAAAAGCATAGTGTAGAGCACACCAACTAGGCAACAAAATGAAGATCAGCCACTGAAACCGATTAGAAAAGAGAAGCTAATGTAACAACCACAGAGTGGCTCTGAACTGTATACTGTTAGAAACTTTTCTTTTGTACTCACTTTCAGTAAATGACATACTAGAACATAGTAACCCAAAAATTGTCTTTCGTGAACCAGAGAATTCATAACAGATAGCAGATGTTCTACATTTGGCGCTTGTGACCATACACATGCGTGCACACCGGCAGAAATGATTGTGCCCTCCCCACCCTCTCTCCTCTCTCTTCTTGCACCCAGTAGTCTCTCTCTTCACCCTCTAAGAGAATCAGACTATCCGGACCACTATCTTTGTCATAAGATGAGCTGCTTAAAACTTCTCTCTATGCTGTTTTCTTCTAGTTTTGTAGCCTATATTCTTTCTTAATATTTTATTACTTGTACAACTTAAAATAACACCCACACTCAAAAATTCATATTAGCTAAAATTAACATGCATACACTCTACAATAGTCACTTCCACAAAAAAAATAAAATAAAATTACAAAAGAAACAAAGTTTGATTCGAAACGACTAATAAATTAGTACTGGAAGATAATAAAATTGAGAAATAATAAATATTCAAATAAGTAGTAATTAAAAACTTACTCATCAATTCCAACTTCTCTATCTGCTCCTTGATCACCTCAGGATCCTTCTTCAAAATCCCCACCTCTCTCACCTTCTTTCTTTCCTTCTTGTTCTGTTAATCAAACACAAGAGCAAATATTTTTAAAAAATCACTAAATAAGAACCTAAATGGGAGCAATTCTGCACTACTCTTTTTTTTTTTTTCAATCATCACAAAAAAAGAAGAAGAGAAATTAATAAAACAATAAATCAAATCCATTAATCAGCCAAAAAAAAATTAATGAATAAAAAAATTCAGCAGTTTCGAGAATATTTGCAAATTTTACAATTAATCGTAATGAAAGAAACCGAATAAAAGCCTAAAATTAAAAAAAAATAATAATAGAATTGGAAGTGAAAATAATTAATTACCCGTTTTAATTCCTTCTTACGAAGCTCCTTGCGGTAAGCATCGGTCGGGTTCATAACTTTGCCTCCTTTCGTCGTCTTCATCTTCTTCGCCTGTCTTTTATTTATTTATCTAATTTGATTATATTACTTCTCCTCCTTTCTCTGTTCCTTTGAGATTACTGCTACTGCTATTTCGAACCTTTTCTACCGGATGAATTTAGGTTACTTTTTAATTTTGAAATTGAAACAAATTAATTAAACGTTTTAGAGAGGGAGGAAGAGGAGAAACCCTTGCTTGTTTCTCTCCTCTAGTTTTTCAAGAGTCGGAGGCTTGGGCTTGGATTTCGAATGACATGTCGCTCCTTTGTAGATATTGACGTGGATCAAGTACTTCGGGTATCTTTTGAGCTGAAATATCAGATATCAGGCCCATTAATTGTAACATGTTTATAAGAATTAAGAAAATCAAATAAAAATACCGAGGCTCCAGGTTGGTGAGTTTTTTTTTTTTTTTTAACCCACGCATAGAGATGAATTAGTCACGCGAAAACTGGCTAAGGACATTCTTACAGTTGAAAAAAAAAAAGAAAATGTAATTTCTTTTCCTCTAGAATATTAAGATGATGTTTGGTTCCCGGAATGCAACTTTTTCTTTCCAAATCACTCTTTTAGGAGTATGATTTCCTAGCAAGAAACTCCTAGAAATACAGAACTCTAACGTTTGTTTAGCAATAGACGATTAATGGCAAGGTATAATTTTTGTGTTTGTTACTTCGTTAATAATTCCAAATCTATTTAGGGAAAATTACCATCTTATCCTTTAGTGGTATTATAGAATAAACTAGTTCATTGTTTGCACGCTACGTTGTAGGTCCGGTTGAACAAAATTATTTTAAATTTTTAAATTTTTTTTAATTATAATTTCATATTTAATTAATTTTTTTTATAAATTTTTTGTTTAAAAAAACATAAATCATTCTTCTTTATGTATTGATTTTAACTAAAATATTAATCAAGAATTAAAAAATTTTAAAATATATTTTTCATAATATTGTATTAAAAAAATAAAGTTATAATTAATAAATAGACTTTTATAAAAACTAACAAATGAAAAAAAATTCTTATTTAATGCCGATGAGAAGATTAATTTTTTAAATTATCCATGCAATGCAACGGGTAGATAGAACAAAATCATTTTAATTTTAAAATTTTTATAATTTTTTATTTAATTATTGCTACTTTTTTTCATATAATTTCTGCTTAAAAAAAACATGATTTATTTTTCTTTATTTAGGGATTCCTAAATAAAAACTTGTAATATATAATATAAATCTAAAATATTAATTAATAATTTAATAAAAATATATTTTTTTATAAGAATATATCCAAAAAATAAAGTTACAATTAATTTATAGACTTGAATAAAATTTAACCAATAAAAAAATAAAAATTTATTCTTATTTAATGTTGATGAGAAGATTATTTTTTTAAAATACATATATTTGATCTATACATATTACATAATCGTCAGTTTGTGTGAAAAAAGAAGTAGCCATTGATTTTTAAAAATTTTAACACTCAATTATACATATATATATATATAAAAAAGAAACATAAATTGATGGAAAAAATCAAAGAAAAAAAAAGACATGTAGTGCATCAGCTAGAGATTAAAATGTTTATTTTAAAATTTCAAGGATCAAAACAAAATAATTTGAAAATTATAAAAAAAAAACTAAAAAGAAAAAGAAAAAAAACTAAGAGTGAAATTAAAAATAAAAAAGAAAAAACCTAAGAGTGAATAGTGCATTGTGAGGGTAAAAAATGGAGTGAATAGTACATTGTGAGGGGGAGAAAAGTATTTCCATAAAAATAAAAACTTTAAAAATATATTGTTTTATAAGAATATATAAAAAAAAATAAAGTTATAATCAATGTATAGACTTGCATAAAAATTAACCAAGTAAAAAATAAAATTTTATTCTTATTTAATGTTAATGAGAAGACTTTTTTTAAAAAAAGTATATACATATGATCTATATATATTATATAATCGTCAATTTATGTGAAAAAAAGCAATAATTGATTTTTAAAAATTTTAACATCCTATTAAATGAAAAAAACATAAATTGATGGAAAAAAGTAAAGAAAGAAAAAAAAAAGGCATGTAGTGCATCGGATAGAGATTAAAATTTTTATTTTAAAATTTTAGGGATCAAAATAAAATAATTTGAAAATCACATAAAACCCTAAGAGAAAAAACTAAAAGTGAAAATTATAAAAATAAAAATAAAAAAAATAATTTGAAAATTAAGGGAAAAAAAGCTAAGAAAAAAGAAAAAAAAAAACTAAGAGTGAACAAGTAGTACATTGTGAGCGTAAAAAAAAAAAAATAGTGAATTGTACATTGTGAGGGGGTGTTTTTAAAGTATACACATTTGATCTATATGTATTGTATAATCATCAACTTGTGTGAAAAAAATAATGATTAATTTTTAAAAATTTTAACACTCAATTAAATAAATAAATAAATAACATAAATTGATAAAAAGAAAAAAAAAAAACCAAAGAAAAGAGAAAAGAAAAGACATATAATGCATCAGCTAGGGATTGAATTTTTTTTTTAAATTTTAGGGATCAAAATGAATTAATTTGAAAATTAAAAAAAATAAGAGTGAAAATTAAAAAATAAAATAATGTAAAAAGAAAAAGAAAAAACTAAGAGTGAAAATTAAAAAAAAAAAAAAAAACTAAGATTGAGTAGTATAGTGTGAGGATAAAGTAAAGTATAAAAAAACAAACAAACTAATACTGTTCGAATGGTATAAGCCGCTAATAAAAACAAACAAATAAAAAAATCAATGTGGGGAGTTCACTGTTTATTCACTATTCATTTTAACAGTGAACTCCCACACGTTTTAGTTATATACTAATTCTCATAATATGTAATCAAGTGCAATAATAAAAATGTATACTAATAAAAGGGATTTTTCTAAAAATATTATTACAAAAATTTTACAAAATAAATAAATTAGCAATATATATTCAACAATAACTAGAATTTAATATTAAAAACCAATTTTAAACAAATTTAAACAATTATCAAAGAACACACACACATATATATATGCACACATACAAAATTAAGTTTCAAATTTATCTTCCTAATAAATTTACTTTTTTCAAAAAGATTTTGGTTACTTTCATTTTATATTACGCCATGTATAATAGTAAATTAAGTTTAGGATATTTTTAAAATATATTATAAGTAATGAGGATATATAGGCCAAACATTAAAGTTTTCGTTCCTAGAATTTAGAAAAGTAACATTCCTCAAGTTAAAATAACAATTTTTGGAAGGGATGGGTGTTTGAGGTGTATTTGTTTCTTGATTATCTGAATTCAAACTATGGGTCATCATTCTTCTAGTTGTTTTCTTCATAAAAATTCCTTTCAAACCTATTAGAATTTTATTAATTTTTGTCTTTTCAAATTTAAAATGATATAATAAATAAAATATTAATTATAACTTAATCTATATAATTTATTAAAACTAATTAATTAGTCTTTGTAGTTTCATAAATGATTTAACAGTCCTTTCTTCAAGGTGGACCATTTGGTAGTTTTTTGCTTCAAAATATCCTCTTTTTTACTTAGCGTTACACATCTTACGTACTTATTTTTTATTTGTTATATTTTCCAAGAAATAAAAAAACAAACAAATTGGAAGAAAACATGAAGTTGACGAAAGAACTAAATTATAAATAAAAGTGTAAGTATTAAGTATCTAGTGTAAAACAACAAGGATTAATTTATTAGTTTTGTCAACTACAAGTACTAACTTATAATTTACTCTAGATTAAAAAAAATTATGTTTTTTTTTATTTATAAATAAAATATTAATTTTTCTACTTCTAAAATGGATAATATGTTTTTTAACAAGAGTGAAGAAATAGATTTACCCTCCATACTTAAAAGAGCAAGTCAATGATGAGAAATTTTATAATATTTAAGGAGTAATTATCGATAATTATTTCATAAAAGAGAGATAGGCATAAAGATGAGAGAGATAAAAAAAAATATTTTGAGCCTACATGAAAATATTTTATCACTTTTGATAGATACATATATAATTTTCTCTTTTATCTTTGGGCCTATGAAGTAAGTATTGGTATAATTGAGCTTTCTTTTAGCAAATGTTGTTCTAAGCCTACCAAGACAATTTTTGTAATGCATTCCAAAAATAAGGCATGGAAACTAACCATGCAGAATATCTATCTATCCTTGTGCAGTTTAAACTTCATGGTAGGTGAAGTCTATGGTCAGTCTAATCCATTTGTTGTAGAGTTTGGATCCATGTCAAATGAAAAAAAACACCTTGAATTTGTAAATGAGTAATTAAATTACTTAGTTAATTTTTTATTGACAATTTGGGCATATATATTTAGCTCCGTATGTGGACAATATTGTTAATAAGGGTATTCATGCAATCTTGTATGGCGAGATAGAGAAAAAATAAAATAAAAAAGGTGACTTGATATAAGCAGCTTAGGAAAAAAAATGATCTCGTGTTCACCTTGTACACCAGCAATCGGATGGTATTTCTTTATGCATAAAAGTGGCTGTGAAAGACTTACTAGGAGTCTCTCATTGTGTAGTGAATAAATAGTGAAACCTGACAAATTTTCTATGAGCCTCCAATGCACAAAAAATAATAATAATAATAATAATAATAATAATATAAAGACATATGTAATGGGGTTTTCATGATCTGTCCCATGCATGCAAAAATTTGCGTGAGTGCTTACAGGTTTGCCAAAAGCCTTTTCGTACAAAAGTTGAAAATAGTTACTTACATATTTGCTTAGAAATTCCTAAATTCAAAAGGATTTATTAAAGATATTAGATGGCTAATATAGTGGATGGCCAACACATGATGCTTGGCTTCAGGTCACAATATTCTTGGAGAGTTGTCATGGCTCCATCATTCATGTCACATTGGTCCATTGTCTATATCATATGGATGGTTGGTTTTATTTTTAATTTTAATTTTTTTAGTACACCATAGACATCATATATCGCCTTCGGTCATCGTGCGCACA